GCAACCCCCGGGCCAGCCCCCCTGAGGGCCCGGGCGAGGTCGCCCTCACCGGCCATTACACCCCGCTCGCGCACTGCCTGTCTTTTCACCAGATCTCGGACGACCCCGAGATCGTGCTGTTTCGGTCCATCCTCTACGAGCCCTGCCTCTCGCAGCGCCGCGAGGCGATCCGCGCCGCGCTGTTCGTCCCGAGGGGCGCCTCGATGGTCTCGCAGCTCATCCTCTTCATGAAGGTCATCGGCGTCTCGCTCACCTGCAGCGAGATCTCGGCCCGCAAGGACAACCCGGACGTCGTCGCCCGGGACGAGGAGGAGATCAAGCTCATCTTTAGTTTCAGAAAAGGCGCCCTCTTTCAGGCGGCGGCCGTGATGGAGCTTATCTTGCATTGTACTCAGACCTTTCCGGTTTGCGCGGGGGCGGAATCCCGCACCGCGCGCTTCAAGTCCTTACGCGAGGTCTTTGCCCGGTGGTGCATTCAAGGCTTAGTCCAAAAGGAGGTCGTGATGAAGATGATCCGCTCGCTCGAGAACATGGAGGGGAGCATCAAAGTCTTCACGAGCTACTTCAGCACGGTGGCCGACCAAGAATTGTCCTGGGGCGAGATGCTGAGTTCCCTATTGTAATGCTTTGCCTCCATTGGGGTTCTCCTGTATAAGAAATATTAAAAACGTAAAAATGAAAAAAAAAAAACAACTAAAGATGATGTTATGTTTTCTCTTGGAGTGTTATTTTATAAAGGCGAATTCCATATTAACACCTGATCCAATGACTATAATGTTAGATATTTACATGTGTTTCTTTTAAATATGCTAGGTTATATGTAATTGGGTGCTCTTCTGGTTAGCTTAATGCTGTAATATTGATGCTATTATTACTATTGTTATTATTATTATTACTACTATTACTATTACTATTATTATTATTACTATTATATTCTTATTTATCCAACGGCGATGCTTAATTAGTGCTAGAATGTATGCGTTTTATTACTAAATTTACGTGCCTTTTTTTAAAAAAATTATTAACTCTTTGAAACTATTCACTTAGAAAGGCACATCTTGAAAGAAGTGTTGGTTCTAAATTTGCTATATTACTAACAATTATATAGATACATAAATATACGTTTTTTTCTTTGTATGGATGCTTTGGCTTGACATAAATCGTGCATAGAATATTATATTCACACCTTTTTGTTAAATAAGGATAATACTTCACACAAGTAACTTCATTTTTCACAGGATTAAAATGTGTAATGTAGAACGTCATCTATGGTTACTGTTTGTCTCTTCCCAAGTTGAGTTTCTCGGTGCGTACCTACTACTTTTTCATTCAGATTTTTTTTTTTTTTTACTGTATCTTGACACCTAGTTTAGCGTGTGCAAAAAAAAAAGAAGTAGGTTTTTTTTTTTTGTTCACGTATCATGGTTTACCAACTTGTAGGTGCCGTTGCAGGTCTTCTATGTGGTGCTGGTGGGGCCTTTCTTTGTCGAACCCTTCAACAGGATGGACTGGGAAGCCCAGTTCACTGCGCAAAGAAATCCGGGTGGACGTTTTCACCCGATGAATTCAGGCCATTCGAGCTTTTATCGTCTCGTTATGAGTCCAATGATACCCGACGCTTCTATTTTGCGTTGGATAGTTCAGAAGACATCTTTAACATACCCGTCGTCTCTTGCATCGTCGCAAGGATAACGGGTGCGGAGGGTAGGGAGGTGCTGCGCCCGTATATCCCGATATCATCCAATACCACCAAAGGGCATTTTGAGATTTTAGTCCAGCGAACCCCCAACGATGAGATGACCGAGCACCTATTTTCTATGCAGTCAGGGGATAAGCTTCTAGTGAAAGGGCCCTTCGAAAAGCTAGTTTACAAGCCCAATATGTGGAAGCAGGTCGGCATGATTGCGGGCGGTACCGGTATCACGCCCATGTATCAGATGATCCGTTCCATATTAGAAAATCCCAAAGATAGCACCCTCATTTCTCTCATCTACGCCAATCACCAGCGTCGAGATATTCTTTTAGCCAATGAGCTCGTTGAGCTGCAGAAGGTGTACGACAACTTCAATATGTACCTAACTCTAGTGGAACCACCTCGTCGATGGCTTGGGGGCATTGGCCCCGTTAACTCATCCATGATTTCCACTTTCATGCCTAAGCCCAGTGAAAAGAATACCAAAATTCTAGTTTCTGGGTCCCCTCGTATGATGAAGACTATTGGCGGTGATAAGTTACTTTCGTCAGGAAGACCACCACGGCAGGGACCTCTTATGGGGCTGCTGCGTGAATTAGGATACAAGGCAGATCAAGTCTTCAAGTTTTAACGCACTCGAGGCCCATCTCATGGCATGATCGGTTTCGTGAATTTTCTATCTTTATCGATAGTAGTTACTCTCAAAAGGGGGGAGGGGTGAGGGGATAACTATTGTAGCAACTAAAATCATTTCAGAGATTAAGACTTTTTTTCTTTTTTAGTGACGAGGTTTCTATAGTATTTAGGAGCTGAAGAAGGGATATAATTATGGAATAAGTAGCATTTGTGCGATATTGGTACTTTTTAGAAAGGACACAAGTGCGTTAGGATACTTCTACTTCCATGGGATATTTCAAATGGTTCCTTCTATACCAAAGAAAATTCTACCCTTAAAGTACCCTGTTTGTACGACTGTAATGTTTACGTTGTCACCTTTTTTCACTCTATTCGACATTTTTTTTTCCATTTATAGCACTCTTCTCCAAAGACACACACACACACAAATATATATATATATATATATGTATCACATTTGTAGTGGTGGTAAATCAAGAGGACTCAAAACTACTAATATATCTCATCCACTCTTAAAAAGGAAATGAAAACTGTGCGGTCAAGGTTGATTTTGATGTCAAAAATCTACCTTAGCCGTAGGAAGAGAACGGTTCTGATGAGTTTCCTAGTGGCCACTCTCTTTTTGTTGCTTTTTATTTTGTCCAATCTTCATATTAATGCCCCTTCGCCTAATATGGAGGATTCCCTCATGTATGATGTTGTGCTCGATGCAGGAAGCAGCGGTTCCCGCATTCATGTATTTGTGTTTAAACAGTCCGGTACTGACTTGAAGCTGAGCTTAGAACACTTTAAGCGTGTCGAGCCCGGCATTTCCAGCTTCGCCTCGAGCGCCTCCGCGGCCGTCGACTCACTGAGGCCACTGATGGACGTCGCCCTTTCGTACGTCCCGCCAAGCCACCACAAGTCGACGGCGGTCACCTTGAAGGCGACGGCGGGGCTGAGGCTTCTACCTGAAGAACAGCAAATTACTCTTCTTAATGGGATTGATGCCTACCTGAACTCCACACCATTTTCCAACCGAGGGGTCTCGGTGATCTCAGGAGGCGAAGAGGCGTTGTACGGCTGGATGACGCTCAACTACCTTTTGGGTCGCTTGGACTCCGATGATAAGCTGCCCGTGATTGCAATTGACATGGGTGGGGCCTCGACCCAAATTATATTCAAGACTCCATCCGAGTCGGCCGAATGGCTGCCGTTTCGCTACGCAATGCATCTGAAGCTTAAAGAATCCGGCGTCACGCTCTACCACCATAGCTACTTAGGATTTGGGCTCAACGAGGCTCGAAAGAAGATCTGGCATACCTATAAACACCATGAAATTCTTGTTTGCTTTTCCGATAGCGACGCCAATACCAATCGAACGGAGCACACCTTCAACGACTACCCGGTGACCCAGAATTTCGACTCCTGTACGGACTTGGTCAGAAATGCGATGTTTCCAGTAGGGGAATGTCGATTCCCTTCTTGTGGTGTGAACGGCATCCCACAACCTTCAATCGGCTACGAAGAGCATGATATCTACACATTTTCGTACTTTTATGATCTACTGCGTCGAATCATGCCGGTCGATGCGCCTCTGTCGGTGGATTCCATTAAGGGTGCCGCACAGGAGGTGTGCAGTAACTCCAGACATCCTCAGAACAAGGGAACCTTATGTATGGATTTGGCTTACTTGTATACTTACCTGCGTTATGGGTTGAAGTTCAGCAGCACCACCCTTGTTCACGTGGCAGACGAAATTAACGGTCAGTCTTTGTCATGGCCTCTAGGTGATTCTCTGTCTTATCTGTGGAGGGCTTCGGTAACCCAGTATTAATAAAGTATATATCTCTTACTATATATCTATATCTGTATATATATTTACATAAAGTTCTAAAATATGTTGTGTGATTTAAGTTATTTCATAAGGTCAAATAGTGCCAAACGACTCAAAAGAAAAATTTTATGGGATTAATGGAGAATAAACGTTCTGGTGTCCAGGCATTGGAGTATTTCGTTCTGATCTTTCAGTTTATAGAATCTATTATTATGCTGCTTCCTCCCTCAGTAAAGAATAAAGGAAATTAATATAGAACGAAAGTAAAGCAGGATGACCAAAAGAAAAAGGGCCAATGAAAATGAAAGATCTGAGAAAGAGGCTTCCTCGGACCAAGCGGCCCGTTCGAACCAACGCTTTCGGGCGTTTATTAACCGTTGGAGGGAGGACGTCGAGGACCCCTCCGCGGTGCGGCACCCTTCTTCCTTGCGCCCCCTATGCCCACTACCGACCCTACTGGAGTTTTTAGCACCTCGCTCTCCCCACCGTAGTAATGTTGGGACCTTTACGAAGGAATCCACCCAGGGAGCGATCGCCGCTTGCGAGGGCGTGAGCGGCACTGGGGTCGTGTATGATGAGTACATGCTCCAGCACGTTTCGCCCGACCCGCGCGAGCTTGAGCGGCCGTCTCGTCTTCAGCGAACCATCGCCCATCTCACGGCGGTGGGACTTCTTGGGTGTTGTGTGCGGCTCAACGCGAAAAAGGCCACAACAAGGGACCTGCGCCGGGTCCACACCAAGGAGCATATCGATTACGTTGACCAGCTCGATTTTTTCATGCAATTCAAGGACGATGGCTCCATGAGCGTGGGGCAGGATCTATACGCCTGCGAGAGCACGTCCAAAGTCGCCCGTATGGCGGCGGGATCGGTCGTGGAGGCGGCGCTCGCCGTCACGGAGGGGCGAGTTCGGAACGCGTTTGCCTTCGTGCGCCCGCCCGGACACCACGCCTGCGCGGAGTTGCCATCTGGATTTTGCTTCTTCAACAACGTCGCCGTTGCCGCCCGCGCGGTTCAGGAAAAGCTTTCCCCGGATTCCTTCCGTAGAAAAGAAGGGAAGCCACGCGTACTGATCCTCGATTGGGACGTGCACCACTGTGATGGGACGGAGTCGATTTTCTACGAGGATCCATCCATTATGGTCATTTCCATCCATCAGTATGCAAAGAGGCGTGGTCATATTCTGCGGAAACCGTCTTCCCGTACCGAAGCCCCCTCAAACACCGCGGACCAATCCCCCCCCGAACCCACCACGGATCTTAGTGTCGAGGCATTGGGGAAGCTTCTGCCCACCGATGAGGAGATGCAAAGGTGGAATGGGGAATGCGCGGACGTGTTGGCCCTTCCCAAGGGTGACCCCGACCTGCCGGCCACGACTGAAAAAAGGGTGCATGGAATGATCGACTACAACAAGCTGGCGGCGGAGCTGATAGCGGACGACAACGAGGCGGCCGCCATGCTGGGTGTGGATTTGTCCGGATCCTCCGCTACCGGTTCGGAAACAACGTCAACGGATAGCTCCGGAGGCAGTGAAACCGGGATGAGGGGAGGCCCCGCGTGTCGGCACGCCGGCGATACCGAGGGGCTTTCACTCAACAGCAAAATTGACTCCTCCAGTTTGGGATTGGGTAGTGAAGAACTTTTCTACCCCGGCACCGGCCATCTGAACCGCATCGGGGGCGAGCAAAACGCTGCGGCGCGGGGGCGAAACCTGAACATACCCTGGCCCACTCACGGCATGGGTGACTTGGAGTACCTTCACGTTCTAAATGAAATCGTGGTCCATGTCATGATGGAGTTTAGTCCCCAAGTTGTTATTATTAGCTGCGGGTTTGACAGCGCCTCTGGGGATTTACTGGGCTCAATGAATCTCACCCCCTCGGGCTACTACATGATGACCAAATGTATTAGTCGGCATGCCCCGCGCCTTGTGGTGGCCCTGGAGGGTGGCTATCACGTGTCCAATATTGCCCTCTGCTCCGAGGCGGTTCTGCGAGCGCTTCTGGAGGACTCTATGCCCGACGGCGCTCCCGCTTTGCCCCGATCTCGCATGCTTTTGGCGCAAAGCAACGACCTAATCCAGTCGATAAAGGAGCAGTACAAAGGGGTTCTGAAGTGCTTCAGTAACGCTTCATAGGTACCGTAGAACCCGGGCGGCGGGGGCATCCCTGGGGGAATTATCCACACGTATTCCTAGTTTTCAGGTTTTGTATTATACTTTGATTTAACTTTTCCTATCGTATTATCCGTAACGCCAACGCTTCCGTTTATGATGTTTAGGGTTGGTTCGGCAGAGCCTCTTAGTTTTCATGATGACTCGCCCTCTGTGTATACAGACGACCCCCGCTTCACCGGCTTGTGAGTTGAAAAGTGACCAAGTAATTTATCGAATTTAAATTTATGAATTGATCAGGGAACAGCCATTAGGTAATTTTTACGGTGATATCCCAATCTCTCACCGTAGGATTGTTATTGTGAGGTTCTACCGATCGGATGGCTGCAATAAAGAAGAACAAACGATAGGGGTGTCATTGTTTCTTCTCAGCACGACATCGACGCGGGAAGCGACAAGGGTGGCGAAGTAGCTATCTTTGACTTGTGATGGGTACTCTAAAAAAAACCACAGCCTCGGATCCGAGTGAAAGGGTAACTAGCGACCATGCCGTAAAGGAAACGATAGGTGTCCTTTTTTTGTGGTTGGAGATCTGCTGAATGGGTTTCCATTCCTCCCTGTAAAGAAGGCGTCCTTCTATAAGGATCGCGCAGACTCAGAGGATCTGAGTTGCGCCTAGTACGGTTAGGAACACCACTCATCAGCCTTGATGATCGGACACATAAAGTCATCAAATGGCAGTACTGGTGTCTAACGGGGGAGGGGGTTTGACCATTCGACCCAAGAAAGGCCCAGTCGGGCTGTGGGGACGCTCGGTCGTTGCTTTCCGTCACTCTACACCTTTGGACAGGGGGGTCTCGGGTGGATGGTCAGGCTGGCCTTCACAGCGCGTGAATTGGCGACACGGACCTATAGCCTGGCATCGGATAATAACAGAGGTTCCTGGGGCGAAACGGATTGTGCCATTTTCGCCCTCGGGATTCAGAGCCTCCTGGACAAGGGGGGAGGTCGATCAAACCTGTGCAATCTTTGTATTTTATGAACTGGGCTGCGGGGCAAAGTCCTGACAAGTGGTGTGGTGCGGGGGGGGGGGGGGAGGGGAAGGGGAGGAGGAATAGCCCAATGAGTGCACTCGACATCGCATCGGCGTGTGTAGGTAGTGAGCGCGTTGTTTTGCACCACTGTCTTCAAGGCGATATTTTCAACATTCATCCTTGACCTTCTCTAACTTTCGTGGAATGTCTCTCTGCATCTCTCTTGCGAGATAATCCCTGTTTAGGACTTTTTTGAGTAATGTAGTCGCATGCGACACCAGGCAAGCGGAATCCTGTGACAGATGAGATTTCAGTCTAACATTTTCATTCTGCTGGTGTGAAGACATTCAGAAAGAAATGATTAACATACTGCTTATTTGTCGCGTTTAATAAGCAATTTAAATCCAGCTTTTCCTTTTTCCTTAAAGTTCCGTACTTGTATGAGTTGACTTTATCATCGTTATGAATGATAAAATTATGCTTATATTTCAGGCGAGTAGGCTGCGCTTACCACTCGCTTTCTTTTCTTGCCTGAATGGGAATAAAATAAAATCGACTAAGATAGCAGCAGCGTTTTCATATAGTATTGCATCCGTTTCTTTTACACGACTGTATGGCTGTGTATTTTTCTACCTTTCTCTCCTCTTCCCTGACTAAATAACGAACACAAACCGTTGAAAATAGATTGATACAAAATGTTTTTCCACACCTCAATCTTATTATTCATTGTACGGTTGTGTACACTCTCGCATGCGGACACGGCCTTCCATGTTCACGTTCCTAAACACTAGATCCATGACTCCAATGGCCCCTATCGAAACCCTGTCACAGGCAAAATCTACTAGTACATGCAATATAACCCCTTTGGATCAATTTGGGGTAGTATGCCGTGGTATCATGTAACCTCGGAGGACTGCATCAAGTGATATACTTGCGCTGTAACTTCGAGTCCGGAAGAACCCGCTCAATCCCACCTTAACTGAAACCAACGTTCCCGGGTTAGTTCATTTCGACAAACTTCGTAACCCAACAGAGGTGTGGATTGATCCGGCGCATCCCAATGAATGGCTCATCCTCTACACGTACCACCTTGAACCAATGTTGGAGTGCCCTGATTTCTTTACGGTGGACAACACCAATGGGTACTTTCTGAAGCTTACAACAATGAAAGCGCGCCGTTGCCTTTAAACACAGAGTTGGAGCTGCGTATTTTTGTTGATAATAGTGTCATTGAGGTATTTAAAAACGACGATCTTCAGACCATCAGCGGCCGTGCGTACATCTCCGATGGAGTCGCTCACAGCGGTGTTGGACTTGTCAGTGCTAACATTTAGGTGTTTTCGATGGGCAGCATATGGAACTAGCCTCGACCACCTAAGGAACCTGCATAACCTCACTAACACCCCATAAATGCTCCTCGTTTATTACCCTTGCTTATGTAAAACAGAACAACAAAGGAAAAGAACATCAAGAGGCGTTATACCTGTTGTCAATAAAAATACTTAAACAGAGAAAGTTCCAACTGTTTAAATTTCCAAAACTAAATATCCGAATCAAAATATAGCCTTTTACCGATTACTGATATCTATTTATTTTACGTGCAATCCTTGTACACAGTTGGCACACTAATTTCATTTACTCGTGTGGACAAATTTTCAATAGTTTATTGTCTTTAAAACCCTCTTATTTTAGTTATTATAAACATGCAGATGGAAATGAGTAAATATTAATATTATAGAAGCAAATTCAAATCATATGATTTACAATCATCAGTTTCTCTTTGTAGATTCTGAACCTTGTGCTAAGATTCACTAATACATTATATTTTAAGCGTACAGAATAAATGACAATGATCTTTTTTTGTAAAAATCTATATCAAATGGATTACCCTAATCCTAAAATGACCACTCACTTGCTGATATTGGTATTTGAAATTAAAATAGACCATAAAAAAAGTCCGACAACATTTAAGTCGATATCAATATACACAACTATACATTTACTATATATTATCATCAATACTACGGTTCACACCCTAACGATATAAAGCCATTGTGTGACACCATAATAACACACTCACCCACCGTCGCCACACGCCACCGAATGCCCAACCCACTCACCGGCCTGCGTGTGTCCGCGCTGACCGCAGCCAATGTTCTGCTCGCACTGCTTGTCGGGACCCCGCTGATCGCTGCGGGGCACCGTTGTGTCTTCGACGAGCTGCAGCGCCTGCAGCTGGCGACTGGCACCAGTGCCGTCCCCGAGGTGGGGGACCGCGGGGCGCCGCCGCGGCAGGGTGCGGAGCAGCATGGCAGCTTTACAGCCCCTGACCCATGGGAGCCGATCCGCATCTCGGTGTTCACCAAGGACCTCGACGACAGCTCTCGCTACTGCACACAGCCAGGGGAGATGAAGCCTGATTTTTTTGGTTCTATGCTTAAGTGTAATTCCGATAACGTGCTCACCGATGAAAAGAAGCGGATACTGCGTGAGGTGATTGTACCCAACGCGGTGCAGATGCACGAGGATCGCCTGCTGGTGCAACCGCTCAGAGACAACATTTGTGTTCAACACTTCACGGACGACGTTTGCTCTCAGTTTACAATTCCCCAGTCCCACCACACCACCGGTGTGCCGGATACCGACTTCGTGCTGTATGTTGCGGCGGGACCAACTGAACCTGGTAATTTCGCGTGGTCAATCACGTGCCAGTTCGACACCAACGACCGCCCCTTGGTGGGTGTAGCCGATATTGGGTCCGTGGTTACTACCAACATTATTCCATCTACACCTATCTTGGTACACGAAATACTTCACGCTCTGGGATTCAACATTGAAACTTTTCAAAGCAGAGGAATGATTATTGATGTGTCTGTTCGCGGTAAAAAAAAAGTTCTGTCATGAAGTCACCAAAAGTTGTGGAAGTCGCGAGGGCGCATTACGGGTGCAGCACCATGAAGTACGTGGAGTTGGAGGACATGGGTTATGAAGGGTTTATCGGCTCACACTGGAAGATGCGCAACACAAAGGACGAATTAATGGCTCCTGTCGATTCTGCAGGTTTTTACACCGCCATCACCATCGCGGCAATGGAGGACACGGGCTACTACAAGGGCAACTACAGCAATGCTGAAGACATGGTATGGGGTAAGAATGCCGGTTGCGTGCTGTTTGATAAGAACTGCGTAATTGACGGTGTGTCGCAGGTGCCGGAGATGTTCTGTGACGATAAATTTTTTTCGATAAGTGAACATAAGTGCACATCAGACCGGATGGGCATTGGAGACTGCAGGATAAAGAATCGTGTTAACTTGCCACCCTATTTCCAGTACTTCCCCGATCCTAAAATGGGTGGGAATAATTTTTTTATGGATTATTGCCCGTACATAGAAGCATATTCAAAAACTATGTGCTTAAATGGTGATGCAAGAATGCTTCCCGGTTCTGTGTTTTCAGAATCTGCGCGATGCTTTTCAGCCGTCCTGAGCACTTCCATCAGGATAAGCGATGACCAAAATATGCTTGCTATCTGTGCGGATGTCTTGTGTGACCATGACACTTCGGGATACCGTGTGCGTGTGAAGGGAGCACATCAATTCGTGGACTGCCCACCCGAAAATCTCATTAAGATTTGGGAGTACAGTGCTGATTTCTTTTCAGGTATGATTAAGTGCCCACCATACCATGAGATATGCTCTTCAGAATATTTTCACCAAAATAGTAACAGCGAAAGAATAAAAGCCGAAGACGAAAAAATAAATTCTGAAGACCAAAAAAAAAATGCTGAATACAAAAAAACAAATGCTGAGGACGTACAAGCAAATGCTGAAGACGTAAAAGCAAATGTTGAGGACAAAAAACGAAAAACTAAAATTGCATACTACATCATTCTTACACTTATTACAGCTTTTCCTATTATAATGTCCATTATAATTTCTATTATAATTTATAAATGGCGGCAACGTACGCTAGAAAGGATGAGCCAGGAAAAACTTGGATTAAAGAATGAT